AAATGGATCCTTTCAAGGAATGCAACCATTCGGGCTGCCTCTATATTTCCAATAAAGATTATTGTGTGTATTGTAATTTTTGACCCTACCAAGTATACAGGAAATTCTTACTGATTCCAAAACGAAATGATTTACACATGCCAAATTCCGTCATTATGTTATTATGGCAGTTCTCTTTCTCTTTTACCAAACAGGAGCATCGGAGTAAGCGTGAGACTTTTCTGTTCTGAATGCAGGATTCATTCTTCTGTATCATGTTCCTAAGATTGAACTTTTAATAAATAATATAATAAAATATGTATTTAAATATACCGAATCTAAAATTTTCGCCAACAATGTTAATATAAAAGTGTAGAGTCTTGAAAAAAAAGTTTTATTCATTATTTTTCCTGGTTTGTACTGCGTTATTTCATTTCTCCGGTTTATTTTTCCGTGGCGAGAGACATGTTTACAAAATTATATCCAGAAACCATAAATATGGTAAATTTATTAGTGCACACAAAATACTCTCATAAAGTTTAACGTTATAAACCTTAGTTGAACTGTCCTTTGCAACATTCATATTTCAAGACGGAAATAAATGTAGAGTAAAACAATGCAGAATCAGTACTCTGACTATTTTGAAAAAAATATTGTAAAATTATAAGGTATTCTTCAGAAAACTATCGTTAAAAATAGATCGCTTCCTGTTATGTACAGACTACTATATATTTTGTTACATTGCATTTGTTTCATTAATTTTCTTTTATATAAATGGTAACACACAAACGTTACACCTAAAAACATTACCCATCTTTCACCCCAAAATCAAATTGAAAGTTTCTTTGTGCTGCCGCATCACCCAAGAGAAGTGAGTGATTCATCATGGAATACGTAGAACTGATTTAAGACTTCGCTCACCCCGTGCTATTTGCTTCCTTTTAATGAACAACTTGGGAGTTTCTGCGAACGCGCGCATGCGCAGTGTAGCTTACGTTCTATGCCCTGAGATTCAGCATACACTCCGAAATCATTCGTCAAAAGGAATCGAGTAAACCGGGTCATAGGGACGCAAGCAGAACGACGCGATAGAGTTTCCGATGAGGCGTTGTGTGCCTGCCCAGGGCTCCTTGGCCCCCGGCACCCCCTGCCCCTCCCGGGGACCAATCTGCCGCGGGTGGAGGAGAAATTCTCTGCCCCGAGGCCTCGTGTCGTAGGTAGAGGATTCTTCGGAAAGTAGGCTGCCGTTGCAGCGGCGGCCGCCAACAGTGTGTGCGATATCAAGCTTTTGGAGGCGTACGTTAAAATGTCACGTGCGGAAACGTGTCAAGGAAGGAGTCGTATAAGAAATGGTAGATTCAGACGGTAGCAATGGAGTTGGCTATATTATTCCGTATTTTATTTGATTCACTAACTTTATTTCTTTGAACTATACTGATAATAGATATCTTTGTAAATTACAACCCTATTTCAAATTCAAGTGAATAATATTATATTGTTTTGGTGTGTAGCTCAGGAAATAATAAAATCTCTTTATTGAGTGCGCTTCAATTTAAGATAAGAAGAAAAAATATAGTGTTTTCACTCGAATTTCATGTGATAAAATAAACGCGTGAAGGTTAATTCTATTTAATCATCTTTTCAATCACATGAATTACGTAGGTAGATTTATCCCATTCCTTATTTACATAACTCAAGATTTTTCACTAACAAATTGAACTATTTTCTCAATGCTATTCAATTTATGTGTAGAAAATAATAAAATCTAATAACTACATTCAAATTCTTTAAGTAAAGATTTAAAACTAACATTTTTAGAACTTAGACTAGTTTTTTATAGTATGTTACTAAAGCATAAAACTAAATTTTCCATTTTGGATGTAACGTCTTTTCAAACAATGGGCTGAAGGTCTCGTCCCCTGATAGTCGAGCATCCACGCACTGTGCGGCAGCAGCGGCAGCAGCGGCAGCGTTGGCGGCTGCGGCGGCGGCGGCCTCAGGTGAGAGCCATTACAGGCGGCCGTGCACACGAGGTTGCTGGCCTTCGACGCGGAGCGCCAACCAACGACCCGCAATCTTGATGAGTTATGACATCAAACTAACGTCCGCGCCGGTTCAAATGATAGTTATTTACTCTCCCAAGTACCGGCGCGGCTACACTGAGCGCCCCCTCGCCCGGACTTCGATCGGAATTGAAACAACGGCGACGTTGATTGGGCCCGGGGATAACTTCTCTCTTCTGAGCCCCCCTCCATCACCACTCGGGTTCCTGCCGTCGCCTCCATCACTTCTGAGTGCGCCCCATCGCCATTGCGATCGTCACCATCAGAGAATCGCTGCTGCCATTCCCTCGATCTCCAATAAGTACTGAGTACAAGCTTTATTCTCATCTGTCTCTCTCACCACAATCTTCACTGTCTACATCATTGTTGCCTCCATCACCCCTGAGTTCGCCGGCATCGACATCGCAATTTCGATCGTCACTATCAGACAGGGAATCGCTGTTACCATTCCTCCTAACTCCACTAAGAACTGATATCACGCTTCATTCTCATCTCACATCACCCTCTGCATCCTTGTCTCCTCCATCAACCCCTATACCTCCGCTGTCACCTCCGTCACCAGTGAGATCTCAGTCGCCTTCACCATCTCTGAGAACTACCCCGTCACGTCTTCACCATAAGTAAGAAAAATGTTATTACCATTGCCTGCTACTAATCGTGCACACTAAGACCACGTATTTTTCTCATCTCACTTCAGCTATCTCCGATAACTACACGACCGTCGCCTCTATTACCAAAGACCTCCGTCTCTCCCATCACTTTTTCATCATCAATGACTGTCGCAACCGTGATCTACACCATTACTGCTTCCAACAGCAAAAATATTTTTGCCATCTTCAATCTATCTCCACTGAGATTGTGCCTTCTTCACATCAACAATCTTCACTGCCTACAGCACCGAAAGTGCTCCAATCAACTCTCCATCAGCTCCGATAGAAGAAATCTCAGTCTCCTCCAGCACCTTTCCATCGTCTGTGTCTCCGCCAGAACTGCGATCTTCACCATCACATCACAAAAACTTGTGTTGAAATGGAGTGGGAATGAATGAAAAAGATGTTATTTACATCCGAATACCCGATCTATACAAATATTTCCTAAAAACTATTTTGACGTAAAGATAAGATTTCTTCTTTCCCGATATGTGCAAATGATATTAATACAAAGGATAGTCAACCACGCGACAATCACAGCATGGCGTCAAAGACCTTTCTCCATCGATGCTGACAGCCCCTGCAAACGATTGGCTGCTTTCTTCTGCCTATTTACACTACCGATATGACTCCGCACAATTTCCATGCTCATTTCTATAACCTTCATGTTAGGTTAAGAAACTTCACAAACTTGACATATATAATAATGATAATAATAATGATGATGATGAAACAATGAAATAATGACAGTCATGCGAAGAAGAAGGACGTGTATTAGGAAGACCCCCATTAGTTTACCAGCTTCAAGCAGATTTAAAACGTGGCTTCTAGAAGCTGAAATTAATGCGGCAGCCAAGACGGGTCACCCCATCTCTACGATTTACCTAATCCATTCGGCATTTCTAAGAATACTAGGCACACGGCAACAATCACGCCCTAAGACATGCTCTTCAGCAATGTCACTCGAATTTATGTTCATATATAGTTCTGAATATTAAATAAACAGTGGAAACCTTCATTTACGAGTGGAATCTTTCTCGTCCCCAACAGTATCACCGTCTAAGCGTCCGGCGAAGAACACTTGGGGCTCCTCCCCGTCACTACGGCCGCAGCGCCGCCCTCGCTAGTACGTCACACGAAGTATCTTCTCCTCCTCCTTCGCCCTCCGCCTGCAGCGTCTGCTCCGCCGCCGCGTCAGCGATATCTCTATCCCGCGCAGCGAGCGCGTCTCTGCCCGGCAGTTATCCGCC